GTACCGTACTAGTTTGTCTTTGATCACAAAGGGCTTATCCGGAGAAGACGCACTGGTGATGCTGGGATTAGAGTTGGGTTGCTGTGAATTGCGTCTGGGGCCCGCGGTGTACGGCGTTTTGGTTGGATACTGCGAGAGGCGTTATGTAAACACATTTTCCGTACCTCAGAACGGCATTTCATATGTCCCACGGGTTTCATCAAGCCGAATGGCTTTGTTGCATGCTTATGCACTCTGCCCTTAGGGTCCTATCCACAGTTGCTAACGTCCTGAGCACCATCAGCCTGAGCTGCTTCTCGTTTATAATACGGAACTGTCCATTTTCTTGTTTTGATTTTGAACCTTGCTTTAGACAGCTGACCTGTTGCTGTAAACTGCATAGCAGTATACCCATCCAGCTGGTACAAACACATCCCAAAGCGATGCATGGCAGGAGACAGACGATTTGCGTTCATTTGTCAAGATCGGAGTTACATGTCTGAAATCATGAAATGATAAAACACACCACTCCGCTCCAGCTCAGACGCTCAGCCGCAACCCAAACACGCTCCACCACTCCGCTATCGCCGGTCTAAGACCGGCGGCAAAAAAGTTGTCACGAGACAACACATTTACGCCGACGGGGTGAACTTGGTGGCGAAGGCGAAGGCGTTGTTCACGGCCGGGTTGGCCAGGTGGTCGTTCAGGTTCTCAATGGGGCCCTTGCCGGTCACGATGGCCTGCACGAAGAAGCCGAACATCGAGAACATGGCCAGGCGGCCGTTCTTGATCTCCTTGACCTTCAGCTCGGCGAAGGTGTCCGGGTCGTCAGCCAGGCCCAGGGGGTCGAACGACTCGCCGGGGTACAGCGGGTCCAGGCCCTCGCCGGCCGGGCCACCGTTGACACGGTAGCCCTCAACCAGGCCCATCAGGATAACCTGCAAGAGAGGGTACGCAGAAGACCTCGGTCAAGTGGAATGACGCTAGACCCATATCATCATGCAAGACCTAACCGAAACGACAAGACTGCGGAATGTTTCAATCATACAACCGTCTAGCCCAAAACCACCATTTGCACACGCAAAAGCTCACCTGGAAGGCCAGGGTGGCGACGATGTTCTGGGCGTGCACCAGCGAGGGGTTGCCCAGGTAGTCCAGGCCGCCCTCCTGGAAGATCTGGGCGCCGGCCTTGAACCACACGGCCTCACCGAACTGGACGCCGTTCTTGGACAGCAGCTCGGGGGTGATGCAGCCCAGAGCGCCGAGCATAGCCCAGCGGGCGTGGATCAGCTCAAGCTCGCGGTAGCGCTTGAAGGTCTCCGGGTCGGCCGACAGACCGGCGGTGTCCCAGCCGTAGTCGCCGGGGAACTCGCCGGTCAGGTAGGCCGGGGTGGCATTCTCGGAGTACGGGCCTGCGAGGGAAGCAGAAGGTAATATTTTTTAGACATAAGAGTTGGACATCGGCAGGGTATCTGCACCAGTTTTAAATCGTGCAGCAAGATAAAGTCCAACTCAGCCCGAGACCGCCGCTATCAGTCCGTAGGCTAGCTCAGACATACCACACACCAATCCTCACTCACCCAGCCACTTGGCGCGGTTGGGGCCGTACCACTCGATGCCCGAAGCAGGGGCGGGCTTGGCAGCCTGCACCATTGGGACATCAGCGAAGGCATCGCGGAAGCGATTAGACATAGCCCAACCACAAGCATAAATATACAAACATAAAGAAGGGCATATCGTCCCGAAGACACACAACGATTGTGAACATGTTCCCTTGCCCCGGCATCTGGTGACATCACAACACCAACCCAGACATGAACAGTCGCTAGCATGCCTTCCGCAAACTAGTCGTCATGCATAGTAAGAGACTACGTGATGCAGGAATGAAACGACTACGCAAGCAAAGGGTCACGGAACTTACGGTCTTGGCGGTGCCCTTCTTGCCGGTGGCCTTGGCGGACACCTGCAACGACAGATCATCAACACACGTAAATGCTTCATCGAGTAAAGCAGACGACGAGACGATTACTGCATCTGCTAGCAAGGTGAGCGCTGCATAGAAAAGGTCAACTGGTTAATAACTTCCAAGATCTCACCTGCAGAGCCTTGCGGGAGAAGGTCAGAGCGAAAGCCATTTTTGCTGATGGGGTTCGGTAGATAGCCGGACTCATTTACAGCATGGGCGAGCGGCGTTTATATGCAGCTCAGGCACCGATTCTCCGTACCCGCCTGTACGGGTCCTGATCGAGATCTGCAGACCCAAATTGTTCAGCGCTCCGGTACAGAGAAAGGTGCAAAGCCCTAATGTCTGTGGTGGATGCACCACTTCACGAATTCAGTGTTTCACGATTTCGGAGGTACCTTTATTATTTTGTATGCTGCCGGCCCACACTTGCAGCGCGTGGATAAATCTCAAGATGGGTAGGCACTTCCTTCCGACAGTATGGCTAGGTTCATGTCTGGCTGTTTAGCGGCCGAAGGAGCAAGCCTTCATCTTTGCGCGCAAGCCGTCGCCATTGCGCGCAATGTATCCTGTGATGGGGCTCGTAACGTAGGCTTTCTCAATACCATTTCTGCAAGGTCATATGCAGCGGGATCACGGTGCCACATTTAATGCGGGCGGGCAGCGTCATCCATGTGTTTCGGACGTCGCCGGATCAGTTGTCCATTCCGACACATTGTCAACTGTCGCCATTCAATCTAGATGATATCGCTTATCATTGGATAGTGAGCCACTTGAGATAAGGGTGTTGAAAAGGTGCTGGCTGGTTTCATGGCCATGTCCGTGGGCGGCATGGCGCTACAAACAACAACAGCAGGCCACGATCGACGCTCTCCAAAAGCCGCCATCTGTCAAGTCACCCAGGCCGCGTCATCCCCAGCCTTGCGCGCCATCAAATGTAGACCCTTGCGCAGACTGCTCTCCCAAAGACCGAAGTGGGCAGGATGCGGATATTGAGCCTGGCACCGTCGGATCAGATGGATTCCGTGTCGCGTCGCGCGCGCGTGACCTTACCGACGCCGCGCCCCCTGATTAGCCCTCATGCATCCGTGAGGTGAGGTGAGGTGGAGCTGCCACCCGAATCGGGACCCGGTGATCGGGAGGCGGGTGGCACCTCACCTGACCTGACCTCACCTCAGGTTAACACCAAAATCGGCCTCTGATACCGTAGCCGACGAGCTTGGCGGTGGGCGTGACGATGGGCTCGACGGCATAATCGCCCAAGGTACAGGCGCATCGCCTGCCTGGCGGTGCGATGCTCCGCAGGCATCCCCTCGTTCAGCGCACGCCGCCGCCACCGCCATCGCACCTCATCTCCTGCACATCGCCTGTCGCGGCGGAAGCCCACCCACCCACCCATCATCGTGTCGCCGTCGTGGCCCCGTCTCCGCCGCCGCCGCCACGACCTCCCGCAGCCGTCGCCGCCGTCGCCACCTCGGCAGCGGCAGCAGCAGCGGCAGAAGGGCCAGCTGCCCCGCTGGCCGGCTGGCCTCCCGACAGCTGCTCCCGACTGCTGCGCGGCTTTGCCCGCGCCGTCGCCTGGCTGAGTGCGAAGAGCGAACGCGGATGGGGGTGTGGACGAACAGACAGGCGGCCAGGCAGACAGGCAGGCGGGCAGGCAGATAGGCAGGCGGACAGGCGGGCAGGCAGGCAGGCAGGCAGATAGGCAGGCAGGCAGGCAGATAGGCAGGCAGGCAGGCAGATAGGCAGGCAGGCAGGCAGATAGGCAGGCAGGCAGGCAGATAGGCAGGCAGGCCAGGGCAGGCAGGCAGATAGGCAGGCGGCCAGGCGGGCAGGCAGATAGGCAGGCAGGCAGATAGGCAGGCAGGCAGGCAGATAGGCAGGCGGCCAGGCGGACATGCGGGGTCCGCTCTCCGCTGTAAAGCGGTTCGCTCCTTCACGTGGAAGACAGCCAAGCGGCCTTCGCCCATCGCGGATGTACGGCATTACACGCCTCAAACAAACAAAACAGCTCCTCAGTAGCGCCACACCACTCAACAAGCCAAAACCCGGAACCAATCAAAACCAACAAAACCAACCCGCATGCCCCGTCCATCAAGCGCTAACACACCCTGCCCTTTGCCCTCCGGTGCCGTACGCACCGTACGTCGCCTCGTACAGGCGCTTGGTCCGTGCGTAGGCGCGAACCCTGTCGCCCCCGCACAAACGCAAGTAGCCCCATGGCCCCGCCATCATCATCGTCCTCGCGCCGTCGCCGCCATCACCCACGCCACTGCTGCCGACTTCGCCGCCGCCGCCGCCGCAGCCACTGCCGCCGGATTTGGGGCCGAAATGGCGGCAAGTCACGCGGTAGGCTCCACTCATTGAAATGTGTGCCAGCCAGAGGAGCGCCATGTCAGCTGCCGGCACCAGAGCTTCGGCGCCGTCACTGCCGTCATCCCCGCCGCCGCCGCCGTCGCCGCTGCCACCGCCGCCGTTCTGCCGCAGCCGTTGCCGCTGTAGGTGCAGGAGCTGCAGCACCCAGAATCTAGCATACCTGGGAACAGTTCCAGGCGGCCGTGAGGGAAAGTGAGGGGCGCCTGTGAGGGTGGCGCATCGGCGGCTTTGAAAGGGCTGGGTAAGGGGCTGGATGGGTTATGCGGCAAGAGGCAGCACTAGGGGGCGTCAGGCAACGAAACGTGGTAATGTTGCCAAGGAATGGGCTGCAGCTGGTCTCAGTATCAACAGCGAATCTATGCAAGAGTTGGACCGGTGGGGAAGTGCACACCCTGTGCACACCAGCGCCGCTCACTCCCGAGTCCCGACCAGTCCATGCACCATGCAGCATTGCTAGGTAAAGCCGCAGATGTGTCGTACTGTGTACGGCATACGATGCCGAGCCAAAGGAACCCGCCCGGCCTTGGCTTGCCGCATGGTGCTGTGCAGCCGGTACTCGGGCCGCAGTAGCGAGTGCAGCAGTCCCCCGTCCGCCTGGCTCAGACAGAGCAGCTGAAAAAGAGGGTATATAGTATTTATTTGTAATGTTGTGCATCCCCTCGCTTCCCGGATCTCGGGATATGCGCCTGTGCCGGAGTGGTCTAACGGGTGGGTCTCAAGCTTTAAGAAATGAGCTTTCCCATAGCGAAAGCTGCGTGAGTTCGAACCTCACCGGGCGTATCACTACATTTTTATGTAGAGGCTCTACGAGGTGGTGAACGACAGTGTGTAGGTGTATACGGTGAGATGGCTGGGGTAGGCCGCACCAGAAGCAGGAGCGAGGGAATGTTCGCCATCACCGTCGTCTTCACCGTCACAGCAGGACCAGCATGCCCGAGTCTGGCGCCCGCTGTAACAACCGCCGCACCACACCAGCAACCTTCATGTCCCTGACCCGCATTGCAAGACGCTGCACCGCATGCGCTGTGCGAGTGCGGAACTGCGTCTTTGCAGGGCTGTGGGGACAGCAGGGACACGGGAGATGGCCATCCGATGTGGTGTGTGTGCTAATACGGTAGCCTACTACCCACGTGCCCACCCATGGAACCAGGCTCGACCCTTGGGCCCAGGCTGGACCCTTGGGCCCAGGCTCGACCCATGGGCCCAGGCTCGACCCATGGGCCCAGGCTCGACCCATGAGCCCAGGCTCGACTCTTGGGCCCAGGCTCGACCTATGGGCCCAGGCTCGACCCATGGGCTTAGGCTTAATCATGGGCCCAGGCTCGACCCATGGGCGCAGGCTCGACCCATAAGCCCAGGCTCGACCCTAGGGCCCAGACTCGACCCTTGGGCCCAGGCTCGACCCATGGGCCCAGGCTCGACCCTTGGGCCCAGGCTCGACCCATGGGCCCAGGCTCCACCCATGGGCCCAGGCTCGACCCTAGGGCCCAGGCTCGGCCCATGGGCCCAGGATCGACCCATGGGCCCAGGCTCGGCCCATGGGCCCAGGCTCGACCCTTGGGCCCAGCCTCGACCTATGGGCCCAGGCTCGACCCATGGGCTTAGGCTTAATCATGGGCCCAGGCTCGACCCATGGGCCCAGGCTCGACCCATGAGCCCAGGCTCGACCCTTGGGCCCAGGCTCGACCCTTGGGCCAGGCTCGACCCATGGGCCCAGGCTCGACCCATGGGCCCAGGCTAGACCCATGAGCCCAGGCTCGACCCATGGGCCCAGGGTCGACCCTTGGGCCCAGCCTCAACCCATGGGCCCAGGCTCGACCCATGGGCTTAGGCTTAATCATGGGCCCAGGCTCGACCCATGGGCCCAGGCTCGACCCATGAGCCCAGGCTCGACCCTTGGGCCCAGGCTCGACCCTTGGGCCCAGGGTCGACCCTTGGGCCCAGCCTCAACCCATGGGCCCAGGCTCGACCCATGGGCTTAGGCTTAATCATGGGCCCAGGCTCGACCCATGGGCCCAGGCTCGACCCATGAGCCCAGGCTCGACCCTTGGGCCCAGGCTCGACCCTTGGGCCCAGGGTCGACCCTTGGGCCCAGCCTCAACCCATGGGCCCAGGCTCGACCCATGGGCTTAGGCTTAATCATGGGCCCAGGCTCGACCCATGGGCCCAGGCTCGACCCATGAGCCCAGGCTCGACCCTTGGGCCCAGGCTCGACCCTTGGGCCCAGGCTCGACCCATGGGCCCAGGCTCGACCCACGGGCCCAGGCTCGACCCATGGGCCCAGGGTCGACCCTTGGGCCCAGCCTCGACCCATGGGACTAGGCTCGACCCATGGGCCCAGCCTCGACCCATGGGCGCAGGCTCGACCCATAAGCCCAGGCTCGACCCTAGGGCCCAGACTCGACCCTTGGGCCCAGGCTCGACCCATGGGCCCAGGCTCGACCCTTGGGCCCAGGCTCGACCCATGGGCCCAGGCTCCACCCATGGGCCCAGGCTCGACCCTAGGGCCCAGGCTCGGCCCATGGGCCCAGGATCGACCCATGGGCCCAGGCTCGGCCCATGGGCCCAGGCTCGACCCTTGGGCCCAGCCTCGACCTATGGGCCCAGGCTCGACCCATGGGCTTAGGCTTAATCATGGGCCCAGGCTCGACCCATGGGCCCAGGCTCGACCCATGAGCCCAGGCTCGACCCTTGGGCCCAGGCTCGACCCTTGGGCCAGGCTCGACCCATGGGCCCAGGCTCGACCCATGGGCCCAGGCTCGACCCATGAGCCCAGGCTCGACCCATGGGCCCAGGGTCGACCCTTGGGCCCAGCCTCAACCCATGGGCCCAGGCTCGACCCATGGGCTTAGGCTTAATCATGGGCCCAGGCTCGACCCATGGGCCCAGGCTCGACCCATGAGCCCAGGCTCGACCCTTGGGCCCAGGCTCGACCCTTGGGCCCAGGGTCGACCCTTGGGCCCAGCCTCAACCCATGGGCCCAGGCTCGACCCATGGGCTTAGGCTTAATCATGGGCCCAGGCTCGACCCATGGGCCCAGGCTCGACCCATGAGCCCAGGCTCGACCCTTGGGCCCAGGCTCGACCCTTGGGCCCAGGGTCGACCCTTGGGCCCAGCCTCAACCCATGGGCCCAGGCTCGACCCATGGGCTTAGGCTTAATCATGGGCCCAGGCTCGACCCATGGGCCCAGGCTCGACCCATGAGCCCAGGCTCGACCCTTGGGCCCAGGCTCGACCCTTGGGCCCAGGCTCGACCCATGGGCCCAGGCTCGACCCACGGGCCCAGGCTCGACCCATGGGCCCAGGGTCGACCCTTGGGCCCAGCCTCGACCCATGGGCCTAGGCTCGACCCATGGGCCCAGGCTCGACCCATGGGCCCAGGCTCGACCCATGGGCCCAGGCTCGACCCATGGGCCCAGGCTCGACCCATGGGCCCAGGGTCGACCCTTGGGCCCAGGCTCGACCCATGGGCCCAGTCTTGACCCGGTGGTTACATAGCAGACGGTTGCCTGAAATTTCCAACCCGGCACTAGCCGCCGTTGCGCCTAACTTGGGCCCACCTTGCGGGAAAGTGTCGACGGCATGCAAGAGCCTGAGCAACCCAAGCGCTTGTCCAAGCAGGCGCTGCGGGAGTTGCTCCTGGAACTCGGCCAAGAGCGAGGGCATAGAACTGGAGCCTCCTTCGGCCACGCTCTGCAAGATGGTTGGATGGTCTCCATCGCGCCCGTCCATACGCTGTCGATCGACCGAGCAGTATAAGCAGAAGCACTTTTGCAGATGCCAATACGAATGTTCTGAGTACTTCAACAGTTTCAGTGCAGCGAAGGTTGCTGCACAAATGATTAGTGCAGAGAATGCGAGCAGTGCTGCGAGCGGGCAATTATGTTTTTCAGTGTGCAACGCTAAGGTTTGTAATATTTAGTAAAGCCAAGGCATGGCAGCTGGCGGCACTACTGTTGTCGCTGGCGTCTTTATGTCTTCCGGCTGCTTCTGGGATACACATGCTTGGTAGGTTTAAGCCAAGCATGAATAATATTATTTAATAAATTTTGAGTTATATGCCTCGACATGTGCGGAGAAGCGCATGAAACCGGACGTGACTTGGGGGCCGACAGCTGCCGGAAGCTTTGTGCTTGACAAGAGACAGACATGCAGAACGTATGTATTAATTTATGGCACAACTTTGTGTTACTTGTAATAGAGAGTATCATAGAAAAGAACACTCCAACGCTCCTTCCGTTTTACTCAGAAACGGTCGTCACTACGGTGCGCTTGCAAGCAACTAATACCAGACTGAAATAAAGAAAATAAAACGATATGAAATTGTGCAATAACTGCTGTGATGAAGTTACCTCAGCACTGCACGACAGCTTGAGGCAGTCCATCGGCGCGGGCCCCGACCCCAACGCTGGCGACGTTAACACAGACAAGGATTAGGGAGATGTTGAATTGGCATACCCCTGACCCATAAAGTGACCAGATCTACGCAATCCCAGACCAACACTAACGGACGATTTGTTCTGTCGACATGCTATCCGCCTCGGCTTGAGGACGCCCTTGCTCATCCCGCCAGCTTAACCGATGTACTTCACCAAGAGTAAACGCATCTCACGAGGATCCGATCATATTGCTGCGCCCTTCTGTGTGCGAACGTATGGTGAGCGCAGGATGTTCTGGTGCTTGGACCTCAACCTGAATGAGCCACTCTACAGTCAGTCCATCGGGATGAGCACCTGATGGGCCCATGACAAGTTGGCTGCGATATGCTCATCCGGGTCACCGTCACCAGCGCATATAGCACGCACATCGCACAGTGATGTCCGGCCCCAGCTCTAATACAGGTGCCGCACGTTCCGCGCAAGAGCGGGAATGCCCATAACAGCCGCGGTTTCACGGACGGTTGATCATTGGTTGGTTCCGATCCTAATGGGCGATCTCCACTTCGGCACGGCACAACACGTGCGCAGCACAGCCCGTGGAAAAGCTGGCAGCCCTCGATGATGGCGGCGCGGCGCGACATCTATGGCGGCCGGCAGCAGCAGCAGCAGCTCGGCATGAGGTCGCGTCTCCCGAGATTCCCGCGGCAGTAGTGACAGTCGTACAGTTTACAGTTTTCATAATAAGGCGGTGAAACGCCGTATCCTCATCTCGGGCATGTCTTTTCCTACCGGTGAAAGGGTCAGTGCTAGGACGATATGTGGATACGCGCGACACGGGCGCTGTGTCGTGACAAGGCCCTTCCTTCAGGTCGTGCCTCCGTTCGTGCGGTGGCGCCAGCCACCACTGCGCAGGGGTTCAGTGTGCGCAAGTTCTTAAATTACAAACGACGCACACATGGACCCATCTCGGTAGTGCATGCGCACAGGCGAGCTCACGCGAGTGCGTAGCGATTCAGATTTGGGCTGCTGGGAGCCGAGCGGGTGCAATCGATTTGGGTTCGCGCCGCAGCTGCGGCGATACTCGTAACCCTTGCTGGCCGCAGACTCGAATGCGACCAATGACGCGTTTAGAATCAAGACATTTTAGAGAAAGAGCGGTGATGGCAGACTGCGTTTTTCATTTATCTGTGTGACTTGGGTACTTTGCGTAGTTCGATGGGAAACAATTATTGCCGGTATTGACATAGATAAAGTAAACAGTCAAGCATGCTGATTCAATTATGAGTCTTCCAGTTACGTATGCACGGGATGAACTCACTACGACACATTTCTCGCTGCGTTTGTATTCTGTAACGTCCGTACAAAGAAGCTGCGAAGTCAACCGGTGCAAACATTTCGCAT